CTTTTCAGTGGCTATCGTGTTTATGTAATAAACATATTATATTAGTAATAAGTTTCTTTAAACCATAAATGAATCTTTTGTTAAAAGTTTAATTGCGGTTAAAATATCATCCCTTTTGAAGTGCTTAAACCACATAAACTTTGTTTAGCATCTTATATAAACGCTATCTAAGTCCACCATCTAGGAACATTTTTTTTTTTTTTTTAACAAGTGGGTAATCTCAGAATGTACTCGTGTTGACGGATGCGATTAAGAATATTCTTAATATCAACGTCTCTGCGCCGACGTGTATAATTATTTGTTTGTATAATTAATTATGTTTACTCGCATGGTTATGATGATTATGAAAAAAATCATCTGGGTTCGATTCGGGAATCGAATAGGTATCTCGGTACAATAAATTCTGTAACCGGATAATATGTACATTGCATTTAAAATAAAAATATTTTAAGCGGCCAGCACATACCTGTACATAGATGGCGCGTCGTCTAGGGACGCGGGTTACCTTGGTGTTCTGGTCGGTCTTTAATGGCGCTTCCCGCGTTGCGCTGGCAGCGCTGGGCATGCGGCGGCGGCGGCGCGGCGCTGCGGCGTAAATAAAGGCGCCTGCGCTTGTGGAAGGCGGCGTGGTTGCGCCGCGGGCGGGTGATAGGTCTTAGCCCATCATACCATACAGCAGGGCGTAGCTTGTCGGTACGGCCTCTGTATAAAGCCTCGATTCACACAGTTATGCGAACGGCTAAAGCTTAATTATATATTCAGTGCAGCAGCCTGGATTAGTTGTCATATCAAATAAATACCTCTTTTCCCGTTTTAGAGGATTATAATGAGTTATAGTTGTCGACCGTCGATGTAATTGGTCGACCGACCGGAAATGTAGAAAGATCTTTGTAAGTTTCCAACAAAAAAAATGTGAGACTGATAAGTACTCAAAATCACAATGTCAGTTAATATGAGTCGTTGCATAGAAAAAACGACATATTGTCATACTTCATATATAAAGTAGGCATTTATTTCCACTTCGACTCGGTTCGGTCAACAAACCGGCCTAAGGTTTATTTAGGATCTTTTATTCTGACCTTATAATAGCAAGTAATGAATCTACATAAATGCACTTTGAATTTTGATCTGATACTTATTTCTTTCTTACTAGCCTTTGTATTTAGACCAATATCGATTGGTGTAATGTATAAAAATACAAAACAACAAAATTATTCAGTTACCCTTTGTAGCATTGAACAATGTGTATGGCCACAGGGTCATCGGTCGTTATAAAAGCAGGCGGAGGCTCGACTGGGGCGAGTGCGTCCGCGGCGCCGGGTCATCAGGCTCCAAGACGGTTGATGGTTCATAAGGTGTAAGGCCAAGAAGGCAAGCTCTTAATGTGGGTAGTTTCGTACAAACGCAACATTTTTCTGTATGAGCTCATTATGTTCTGTTTTTACGGCTTTTTAAAATGGCCGAAAAGAAGATACTTAACTCGTAAAAGTGAATAATATTACAATACCTGGCTATCTCGGTAGTTAATATCTCGTTTTTACTCGCTAGAGCAAAAAACGGCTACTGGTTAAAAAATAACCGAACATAAAGTGGCTGCTGGTTAATATCTCGTATTAACGCTACTGGTTAAAAAATGACCCGCAAAAATGACCGAATATAAAGTGGTTGCTGGTTAATATCTCGTATTAACTCGCTAGAGCAGAAAATGGCTACTGGGTAACATCTCGCATTACCTCGGAGAAAAAAATGGCTACTGGGTAACATCTCGCATTACCTCGGAGCAAAAGAATGGCTACTGGGTAACATCTCGCATTACCTCGGAGCAAAAAAATGGCTACTGGTTAACATCGCGCGTTAACTTGGAGCTAAAAATGGGTCAAAGTTACGCGTCGTGTCACAACGCTTATAATAAAAATGTACGAGCACTTGCACAAAATAGTTGTTACAACCAACCTTTTGTTGGGTCTAATTCTCGTCACTACACTGCACAACTTAAAATAATTACGTTTTTTGTCGGTAAAAACGTCCTGGTGACGTCACTTAAGCATTTTTCTTATACTGCGTGCGGTCGTTGCGCGTGCGCACAAAGGAATGAGACCGCTCGGACACCGAGCCCACAGCGTGGTAGGGGTGGGGTTGCCCGCTCTTTTGTTTTTTAATACTACTACGCTGAATATTGTGTGCGGATTGGGTTGTCGTACAGGGGTACTACATGGTAAAATAAATCTCGGAGGCGAAAGCAGGATAATTTAAGGTTAGGCCAAACCAACGCGATCACACGCGATTAAGCGTGCAGCGATGGCGATCAATGCATTTACGTCTGGTCGCCATCACTGCACGCCGGCTGATCGCGTATGATCGCGTTGGTTTGGCCGAACCTTTATTCACTTTTAAGAAAAAAAATCAAAGCGCAGCGTAGGACGTCCACCCACGAGGTGGAGGCGACCTCATAAAGGTAGCAGGAAGGCGCTGGATGCAGGCTGCTATTGTGGAAATCATTGGGAGAGGCCTATGTTCAGCAGTGGATATCCTATGGCTGAAATAATGGTGATGATGATATGAAAAATTCTTAGAAATGCAAAACATGACGGTTCACTTTTCTGCCAAAAAGTTTCGCCTGAAACATGATACTGAGTACTACCAAGCCTGGCTCACTCCGCGCGGTACATCCGATAATTACTTACCTACAGCGAAGCGCCCCGCCGGCGGGTATTATATCAGTCGAGTGTCACTCGCGCGCTCGTCAGGACGCTGGCATGCGTTGTAGTATGATTATAATTCTATGATCGAAGTATTATTTAAAATTGGACATAAAGAGAAAGAAATATTGTGCGGCGTTCGGGTGTTTAAATTGGAAAAGTAATCTACCGGATTTATCTTTTTTTTTCGCTTCCCAAAGATGCTGAAAGGTATGTTGGCCATGTAGGTAATCAATAATTCTTAGGATAGTATAGGAACCTAACCTACTATGAAGGTTTTCCATAATGAATGCATACTTACCTACATACGTACCTCATTACAAATAAGTAGATTAATTATTTTTTTACTAGACAGCAACCCTAACAGCGTAAGAAGAGTTCAGAGGCACGCGATAGAAAGAGACAAAACTTGTAGGTGAATAAAATTGTAGGTACGTACTGTGCGAGCTGAATTCCACTGTATCGCGTCGTAGCAAGACTCGCATTTATTTAAATCGTCTTGCGGAGTAATCCTTCTGTACCTGTACTATTACTTATTCTGTGGTACTACTAACTAACTATACCTAGTTAATATATTGTCGTCTTCATCTTCAGTCCAAAATTAGATCTTGGATTGACGATTTCAAAGATGTAGGTACTACGTACCTAGGCCCAGTTTTTTGATTCATAGTTAAAATAACAAATTGTTAAATTTTGCTACTAATGGTTAATTATTAACAAAATGCTAACTAATAGTTAAAAATGTACTAAAAGTCAAGCTATTCATTGTTCGAAAAACATTTTTTTCTGATATTTAACCACTTGTCATTTGACATCTGTCAAATTTGACCATTTGTTATTTTAACTATGAATCAAAAAACCGGGCCTTAGTTGGTTGCAGACTTTTGGAACGTTGTTTACTTCCTGACGCTCTGCGTTCTATCAAATCGCCTCTAAATGCGAAAGTAAATCTGGCTGTCTTTCTGTCTGTTTCACGCCTAAACCACTGAACCGATTTTGATAAGGTATGGAAATAGGTAGTTTGAGTCCCGGGAAAGGACATAGGATAGTTATTTCCAGAGTTTTTGAAACAAGGACGGGCGCGGTAATGTTTTTATGTGACAGCCAAATATCACGCGGGAGAAGTCAGTTTTTAAAATAGACTATTTTTATTTTTCTTTCTTCTTTCTCAAAAAACGAGAAATGTGTTAAAGCCCCGCTTGTGGGAGTGTCCTAATTAAGTACAATGATTTAATACTCATACTCGTACCTAAGCTACTTAATTAGAGTCGCAAAATACCAATTTGTTTGAATTCCCCGGATTTCCCCGTATTTACTGCGACTTATCATAAGGAAACTCTCACTGATTGGCTGTTAAATTAAAAATAGGCATTATAAGGAAACTAGTTTACTATTGCATTTGAACCCCCTATTAATGTGGCACTAAGAATAATGTCCATTTTCACCATCAATCCCTAATTTTTAAGTGACCCCTATGGTAACACATAACAGGAATTTTGTTTACATAGGGTTCACTTAAAAACTTTTGAAGTCGGTCAAATAGGTATGGTACCTATACCTACATTTTTGTAATCGGGCGTTTGTTCTAAGTACTCGTATTGTGTAGAAATTTGAATTTAATGTATTGTTTTACGATTTTTGGGGTTGACTAAGTTACAGAACGGAACTGTAGCTACCCACTTAACTTTTGCAGACTTCTGAAACAGACATTATTCAGACGATAGCTCATTAGACTACATTTTCCTGGAAAAATCGTCTTCTATTACATCTTCATAATACCTACTTACTTTTAAAGTTTAGCTAGACTTCTCGCCTAGTCTGTGCATCGTCAAAACTTATCTATTTTCAATATGCCATTGTAAATTAAGATTTTTAAACTACCAATCAGTCTAACACCCAGTCTTAGCTCTTAACAAGTAGGTATTTACCTACCTACCTACGTAATGCGTTTTCTGTCAAAACGTAAGATGTATGAATAATTAATTACTCCGATACCGGATCTTGAATTTGTTTGTCAAAAATTTAACCATTATCCACAAGTCCACAGCTGAAATGTCAACAATAACAAAAACAAAACCCCGTAGGTACCTATTTATCTCACTTGTAAAATCGAACTCGGAAACCATTGCTAACCTGCAAGCTAAACGAAATGGTCATCGCTCTATAATCAATTAGATTTGCAAGACACAAAAAAAGTTAAAGACTAGATTTGTTTATACATTCTAGGTTACCGCACCAAGGTCAAGTGAATCTATTTAAAACACAAAATCTACGCTGTTATTGTTTAAAAAAATCACAAACCTGTCAAAACACTGACTGTCACGACAATTAGGACACATTTGAGTAACATTTTGCTGTAATTTCGACGTAAATTAAACAAAAAAACACGCGTTTTCTACCAGCCGGCGCGTGCGCACATCATCGCGCGCCGTGGATCGATTTTAGACTAACGTAATAACGTTTTTCATGCGATAAGAAACTAAATATAACGACGTTATTGTTTTCCCGTAGGAAACTGTATTTTTTTCCTTGATAATGTACATAAGCAAATAACTACCTACGTACTTAGGCGCTTTGCTTTGGTTCGCCCGCATGAAGTTCAGTTTGTCACAGATCGTTATGAAATCGTCATGCAATGTTATTCTAATTATACAGGGTGTTAGGTAAATGGGTATATGAGCCGACACTAGCCCATGTTAACATGAGCATATAAATGGTATGGTGAAGTCAGAAATTTGATATCATCATTATATTTTTTTTAATTTTCATACAAAATAAATTTTATAAAATCCGATTTGTATGAAAATTAAAATAATTAAAATGAAGATATCAATTTTCTGACTTCACCATACCATTTATATGTCCATGTTAACATGGGCTAGTGTCGGCTCTTAAACCCATTTACCTAACACCGTGTATGTCTTATCAACAATACTGAGAAGTTTCATTATAATGTTCAGTACTTAGTTTTTGCATGAAAGAGTAACAAATATGAAAAGTCATTAATTTCAACAGTGATAATATTTGGATTTGCACCTTTCCTTGTTATTCAAATAAAAAGGGTAGGTAGCACCAAAATTTATTAAAAGTACTTAGTTTACTTATTACTGAGTCTTTTTTTTTAATTAGAGTGAACTTAATAAAACTCTGCAAAACACACAATTCTTTCATATTACAACATTTTGTTTATTCCATTTTGTTGCGTAGACTGCATGCTTGCATTCTACACGCATTGATATGGACGCCACTTGACCCTTAGTTTACGTCTAGAGGTCACTGGAGCACCGACGAACATCCCAAAGCAGAGCATCGTTAGTCATTCATTTGATTCATTAGATAGGTAATTTATTACGTACTATACAAACAGCAGTTCTGATGTAGGCAACATACAGCGTCAATATTTATAGTTGGTGACACCCAAAGTAGCCAATTCGCAAAACGTCTTTGTTACAATTAATTGGATTAAGGTTGTGTTGTTAAAGTATGTGTATGAATATGTTTTGCTTAATAATAATCAAATTAGATTTTTAGAGCGCCCATCGGTTTTTAATAAGAACGAAGACGAAAGTAGTTTTTTAAACTCGGGCTTTTTTATTTTCGATTTCCCGCCATCCGGTATTAATGTCAAAATGACAGTTAAATGTTGTCAGCTGCAAAATAGAATACAAAAATACTTTTTAATGCTCCATTAAAAAAATCTGAACCATTGAACCTAAGATAACAAAAATGTTGAGATAAATTATTTTTATAAAATATTTTCCTCCAGATTTAAAATCGAATATTTTTTTCATCGATAATCACCTTGAGAATCGTTAATTGTCATTTACAATTCGATGAAATCGAATTCATTTTGTCCTATCTCTAGTTTTCACAACTGTCATCCTCCAACAGCGCATGAAGCAATTATAAGCTATAAGTTATAGATCAATGTTACCGTCACAGAGGCGACACTTCGTTTATTCTGCCTATTGAATTGGGTACATTACGGGAACATAGTAAAATTAAATTGAAAGAGGCTTTTGCTTGGTTTTACTTGAAGTCGCAGTCGATTCATTTCTACATGTTTAATACAATCACGCGAGACGGCATTTTTATTTGTTTATTGTAAATTCTCATAAATAGCTATCAATGCACTCAGACTGATGATACATAATGATGATGCTTGATGATTATTGTACCTACGCGTGTATCTTATAGCGTCAGAGAATAAATAAAAAAGTATTTAAACTACAATAATAATTTAATTTCCTTTCAATAATACAAGTTTACTTTCTGCCGTTTGGTATAGTAATTCACAGTTTGATCGGTTTTTGATACGTGATGCAATTTAATTTTTGTGCACTGATTTACTATAGCTCGAATTAAATGGATTCTGTATTGTTGTTCAGTGAATGTTGATTCAAATTTTCAAATGCTTCTTTTTCTTTCACTTCCACTGCTTTGCCGTATTAAATTATGATGTTTTCCGTATCTTAGATGACATAAGTTTCTGATAATTTAAGGTTTTTCATAGGCTGCTCTGAATTGCTAAATATTTTGATTACTGTTGTAGCCGCCATGTCTTCTTATCAATCCAAAAATATGTACATAGTTCCAGGTGGTCCTTGGCTTATCCGGTACATTGTTATATATGTATAACGAAGCATCAGTCTGCTTTTCTTCAACTATCTAGTTGTATAGTTTCTTAGGCGATTCGATATAATATACAAAATGGCATCAATGAAACCTGTTTTGTTCGCAGACTTATGTTCTTCTTTGAGATTTGTAATAATATTCTGGATGTCTAGTTTCTCCATTTATTATTATTCTTTTTGATTAAGTACTAACAAAAGAAGAACGGTCACGCCCCATACAAAAAAAACCCAGACCCGACAGAAACGAGACATACCTCAGTTTTTTTGTCATGTCTTAATTAGTTAAATTATATATTTTTTATATTCGAAATCTATGTATAACACCAAAATATTACCCTTTGTTTTTGTACAGGCGTTATACAAAAACTAATACAAAATGCCTATTTATCACCAAAATTGGTAAATGTATGTACCTAAATGTCTATTACAGCTGCTATGGAATGTATCTAGGTGACCTGGAGATACAGCCGGATTATACAGGGTGGTTATACATATGGAACGATAAGTGATCTCACTCGATTATTTCTAAACTATACAAGATATCGAAAAACTAGTTACTGATTCTGAAAGTGCTTTACGAGCTCTTTCAAATGGTACAAATATCTAATAGGTTACAGATTATGGAAGCTGGTAACATTGAATTTTGTAACTTCTCGTTTCCACCCTGTATAATCCGGCTGTATCTCCAAGTCACCTAGATACATTCCATAGCAGCTGTAATAGCCATTTAGGTACATACATTTACCAATTTTGGTGATAAATAGGCATTTTGTATTAGTTTTTGTATAACGCCTGAACAAAAACAAAGGGTAATATTTTGGTGTTATACATAGATTTCGAATATAAAAAATATATAATTTAACTAAATAAGACATGAGAAAAAAACTGAGGTATGTCTCGTTTCTGTCGGGCCTGGGTCACAGATGACCGTTCTTCTTTCAATGCAAGTTTATTTGATTTCACTTCATACAAATAAGAAAAAAAACATTTTTGCTTTTGCTATCGACAGGACTATCAAAAAATTATTCATCAAAGTTATGAAATTCACTGTTCCTGATGAATCTTGAAACTGTCTCGAATTCAAATCTTCATCACAAGAAAGCTTTTGTTAAGTTCATCATACTCAGAAGTTGTGTTGCAAGCTTTACTTTCATTATCTGCTGTCGAAAATTTATATGACGAGATATTTACTTGAAAACTTCAAATCTATGACCTTCATTTTGTTGAAGCTTATTAAGATTTACCTACTAGTAATTGCCATTTGAATTGTTTGTCATTATTATCAAACAACAGTCTTTTCTTCTCAAACATGTTTCTAATTAGTTTTATAACATGACAAGGGTCCATAAAAATGCATTTTTTTTCTCCCGTGAGATAAATTTCACATGACATAAAATATTACAGTCCAAAATTCAACAGATCGACCATCAATAGCTAAGACTTAAAACTTTTACATCAACCTCGTGGCACTTTTACAAGCATTATTTTATCATAATATTTGCCTTTGTTTCATTTACACCGGCCGTCAAAAAGTACCCCACGCCCACGGGTAATTTTCAATTTTCGTTTAGGGCAATCAGCTTATTATGCTAAAGCTTGCGTTGTGGTTGATATAAAAGAAGAAAAGGATCCAGAATATCCTGAATACCTTGCATAGGACCTAACTGCACCTAATTTTTGATTATTGTGAAAAACCTTCTGTCTCTCGTGATCTATTTCGTCAAATACTAATGAGCAAATTATAGGTTTATTTGAATTTGCGTTGGATTGGGATTTCTTCTTCAAGGCTGCAAATTAATGCTTCTGTTATGAAAACGGGTTCTGAATTAACCGTTGAATACCATCTGCAAATTGTCTTAGGATGTAGAAAAGCTTTGCTATAGCATTCTCTTATGTCAATGCGAATTCCGTAAAGGTACAGTGTTTAAGAAATACGAGTAATAACGTCTTTTATGTTTATTATTTTTCTACATGTAAGATTTATTTCTGTTTTATCCGTTAAATTCGGCATTTAAATTGAGACCGTATTTCTCTTTCAATTTTTTTACAATTGTTTTATAAGACTCAATTTTTTTCTTTAAATAAATATTTTGGTTTCGTACTTTCTTAAATTTTATAGTGAGTTTCTTTAAAGCTGCAGATTGCTTGCGTAATTTATTTTTAAGTACAATTGTTCTTGGACTATCAAAAATTGAATCTGAACTGCTTACTGATTCAGATAACGATTCTGTTACTTCCTGTTCAGCACAATATGTTGATGGCTGAAAAATAAAGAAATATTTTAAAAGATTAAAAAAAACAACTTATAAAACCCCTCTTTTATAGGTAACAATAATACATAATATAATTACGTTATCGCATGGCACTGCAGATTTCTTTAAGTATACTCGTCCCGACTTTATGGTTTTGTATTTGTCGTTTTCTCGGAAATGCACGGAACATATTCGTGAATGATCTGTAGGTAACCACGTTTCTTCGCTGCGATTCTTCTGAACAAATTTAATCCATAATTCTCTTGTTTCATGACACGGCCCTGGAAACCTTTAAATCCAAATTTAGAGCGCTTTCACATTAGGGCGTTAGTAGCGCGACTGCAGCGCGGCAGCGGCGTTTTTATAATGTGAGTGAAGGCATGCATCCGCTGTCACATAGTTTGAAATTGTCGGCAGCGCGTCTGTCGCGCTGCTAAATCGCCTAAATGTGAAAACGCTATAATAAAAAAATAATACTTATATTTATCACATTTTTTTTTTAATTATACGTCAACACATACAGGGTGACTGGAACTGAACCCGCCATAGCTAATACGCGTATAGAGGAGGTCATTTGCTAATTATTGAACCTTACTTTCTATGGCTAAAGTTTTATAGTTTAGGAGATATGTCAATTTTTATACTTTTTTCAGATTTTTCTGAAATTAGACCTAAAAACTGCTCCCATTTTTTTTTCTCGCGTGATTTCAACAGTTTTTTTTAATTTGATATTAATATCGAATATGTCTTTATTCAAATAAAATAAATTTCTGATCCAGATAATGATTGAATAGCTAGTTACAAGCCGTTAAAGTCTAACAAAAGTACAAACCACGATAAAAAAATCTACTTCGAATTCGATTGAAACAAAAATTAATGGTGATAATGGATTGCCAATAATCTTAAAAATATCTCTAACTTCTCTTCTTTCCAATGATATATCACACGTTGTAATTAGATATTGAAATTTGTCAAAAATTCAAAGTTTATGGAAGAAAATGGAGTAATAATACAAAAATTATCCATACAAAGTTGATTTTGAATTTTTTTATACTCTTTTCTTCATAATGTGATTATTATTTTTAAATTCATTTTTCAAAAAACACACAAAAATAGTTATGAAAAGGAGTATAGCAGAAAATATGAGATGTTTGAAGAAACTTTGTATGGATAATTTTCGTATTATTACTCCATTTTCTTCCATAAACTTTGAATTTTTAATAAATTTCAATATCTAATTACTACGTGTGATATATCATTAGAAAGAAGAGAAGCTAGAGATATTTTTAAGATCATTGGCAATCCATTATCACCATTAGTTTTTTTTTAAATCGAATTCAAACTTGAATTTTTTATCGTGGTTTGTACTTTTGTTGAACTTTGGCGGCTCGTAACTAGTTATTGAATCATTATCTAGATCTGAAATTTATTTTATTTGACTAAAGGTATATTCGATATTAGTATCAAATAAAAAAATCGGTTAAAATCATGCGAGAAAAAAAAATTAAGCAGTTTTTAGGTCAAATTTCGGAAAAATCTGAAAAAAGTATAAAAATTGACATATCTTCTAAACTATAAAACTTTAGCCATAGAAAGTAAGGTTCAATAATTAGCAAATGACCTCCTCTATACGCGTATTAGCTATGGCGGGTTCAGTTCCAGTCACCCTGTATAAATAAATAAATATCCTTGGACATTTTACATTACGCTTCTAGTCCCAAACTAAGCAAAGCTTGTACTATGCGTACTACACAACGGATATAAATAAACATACCTACATTATTGTAAATACTTACATCATACCTACATATTAGACTAGGCGCAGACCACCGATTTTTAGTTGGCCGATAGTTGTGGTGCCCGATTTTAAATTGTATGAAAAATGGGCCAAATCAAATCGGTGTAATGTGCGCACTTCCGTACATGCCCATACTGATCAACTGCCCGACTCAATTCAAATTCATCACATAAATTAAAATTGAAATTCATCATTTCAATTACTGCCCGACTGGGAATCGAACCCGGGACCTCTCGGCATAGTAGTCCGTTCCGAATCATTACACCAAACGGCCGACAAAAAAAGGTAGGTTGTGTCTAGTCAGCGAGTAGAAAGAAATGTTTTATTCTTTGATTTTCACGTAAATATGGCTACCGCCGCGGGGTCCCGTTGCAATAAAATATAATTATTTGCGTGTTTTTATAATAATGTTGAACTTTACTTGTGAAAAGTCACTCCTTGACTTTTACTTGTGTTTCTGGTGTTGTTTGAACAGTATCGCATTACACATCCAGGCATATTTTCAGACAGCAAAACTTCACTGAAACATGGTCACGTTGCAGCAAGCGCTGGGCAAAGACTAATTGAGTTGGAGTGCGTGCGCTCTAATTACATACCTACAAATAATTGATTGATTTGAGACGTCTCTCTAGTAATAGTAGGTAATTAAAACTCAATGGTCTAACTAAACCGTCTTTAGGTTATAACTGTGAGCTTGGGTATTTTTAATTACAAAGTACATAAAATGTTTTTATTTTTAATTCTTCTTCTTTTTTGATGTTGGCAATACTCGTCGAGGTCGACTTGATTTACATGCCAGTGTCAAGTTTAATTAATTCGAGTAAAAATAGGATTCAAATGATGAATTAATTAATGTTAATGATGGATGAGATCATAATCCCCCGTACCCTTTGAGTTTCAGCAATAAAGTGGCACTTTACTAAAACCGGAGGCGGAACTTCTTGAGGGAACTTAAAAACTGATGTTGCACAGTGTACACTCATGCACGTTCACGAACACAGTCATATTATGGTCAATAATGGATCATTAATCCACACTTACGATTTAATAGTCGCAAAACACGAATTTTAGAAAATAAAATAAAACATTCGACGCTTCACTTTCCCGCCGAGAAGTCAAAATTTTTTGAATAATATTAATATTAAGAATGGCTCACTTTATAAAAAAAGTCAAGACGTTTATAATTTTTGGTCTGGCAATATCATAAGTTTCTGTCAAAAATCGTTATCGTTGTTTTTTTTTTCTGAATGTGCATTTAAATGAAACCGAGGTTTTAATGTAATTATTTAATTAAAACTGGACTTATTTACTTCGGAATTCGGTACTAAACACTAAACTATGATGGAAATAATCGAATTATTGAATACAGTAGATATTTGTCGTTTCTGCCTATGTGTAAGTGTACAAAGAATGGTCCCGCTATCAGATGAAATTTTACAATCAATATCATCATGCTTTTCGTTGCAGGTAAGTTAACTTTATTAAATAAAACATACTTAATATCTTCAGCGTAAGAACTATACAAATCGCCCATACTATGGGCTACAATTTTGTTATACACCCTTGTGTTGATAAAACGTTTCATGATTTAAAGTAACATGTGTTTCAGATAAATATTGATATTTCTCTGCCACAGCAAGTGTGTGATAATTGCAACAGTAAAATAACACTTATAAGTGAGTTCAGAAAATCTGTTCTAGAAAATGAACAAATGCTTTATAAAAAACTAACAGAAGGCCAAGATGAGTTAAACAAGTTCTATTTGACTTATCAACAAGTGAAAACTGAAGATAATGAAAAGATAATAATAAAAAGTGAAACCGTCAACAGTATAGAAGATGACGGTTACTTTCCTGAAGTTGATGTAAAAGAATTAATAGTTAATGATCACATAAATTCTGAAAATGACCAAAAAGAAGCACATACGAATGAACCCATCAGTAATTCTTTTGAAACTGATATCATAGTTGATATAAAAGAAGAAAAGGATCCAGAATATCCTGAAGAACAAGTCGATACTCACAATTCCATCAACAATACAAATAATACTGTACCCCAACTCCAATGTCTTACCTGTTTTGAGAAGTTTCAATCCCAGTGTAACTTATTAGGCCATTATAACACAGTACACTTGAATAAGCCAAAAGAAAATTCACCAACGGCTACATTTGAAATTGAAACAAAATCAGATAGTACAGTTTACAAATGCAATGTTTGTAGCAAAGAATATGACACTCAAGCGAAGATAAGAAGACATGTTTCTAGCCATTCTAAAGCTAGGTCTTTCCTTTGTAAGCTGTGTGGTGAGTAATGTTAAGATTTACATAGTTGAATTGCAAAAATAATCATGTTTGGTACATAGTTTAGATACATAATTAAGAAGAGACTTTAGTTGCAATCTCTCCCTCTTATAAAAGATGCTCCGCTTCAAGCTGCTACCAACTGGATAGCAAATTACAGTATTCTACATACTCACAGCTTGAAGTTGTCGCTACAAAGCTGCTTCAAGCTGTCTATGTATGGCGAGCCATAAAGCAATTCTGTAGGTATTATTACCAGTAAAAATTCTAAGTATCCATCTATGTGTGTACAAAAAATACTGTCTGGACATACTCATAGTAATTTTAGTCTTATGTAAGAATAAATAATTTTCCAATCAATACTTACAGGCAGAACGTACAAAACAGCATCAGAGATTGTCAGACATGGCCGCGCTCATAACGGCACGGCACTCTTCTGCCGAAAGAATTGTGGCTTCAGCACCGCCTACCCTGGAGCCTTGAAGGAACATGAGAGAAGGCATGTAGGGGACTTTAAGGTAACTTATCTAATTATCTACACTATAGTCTTTTTCACGTAAGATGATCCGTATGACACTTCAAGGTTATCCATATTACGCATACTACATATTATGCAGAATATTTTTGAAAAAATATTTGTATTTTATTGGCAATATGATAAAAAAAATAAACTACTTGTCTTGAAATATATAGTAAAATCTGAGTCTATTGATTATATTTTAATTAAATACGATGTAAAAATATTTTTTATTTAATGTACGCAATGTGTGAAACGGAATAGATTTAGTGCTGGGGTATTTCTTGTATAATAAAATCGATTATTTCCGTGGTTCATTAATCGATTGCAGTGAATACTTAGTTATTAAAAACATCACAAAAATCAACTATATTTTTCGATTATTGACTTTAATAAACATTGAAAACAAATAGTACAAGTTTTACAAAACAATAAAACTTGTATTATTGAGCAGAGACGATGCACAGCATCTGGTGAGAGATGCGTCTACTTCCGGTGTAGTTTTTTACCTTTTTATACCTTAAATGACGTCATTTCCGCAATTATTTAATAGGAATTGATTTGACTTACTTCCGTTTGCCGCCATTTTAGTCACCTGGGGGCGAGCTTGCTCGGAGTTCTTCATAGAGAGCTCACCAGGAGGCCTTCTTGGGATGCTGTGCATCGTCTCTGCTCAATAATACAAGTTTTATTGTTTTGTAAAACTTGTACTATTATTCGGCATGTGACGATGCACAGCATCTGGTGAGAGACTTGTTTATTAGCTCCTGGTGACTACTTACCAATGGCGCTATGTGATGAAAGTTTTCGAGTTTCTGTAACAGAACTAGATTAGAACATGATTAATTTCAGGGTATCTTGACTTTGCTATTCTTATTTGGTCAGCGCTAGACAGTCAAGAGTGTTAAGACGCTGAATAAAGCACGGCGTTGCAGGGGCAAGCATCGGCTTGGAGGTGAATGGCGGACGCATCCCTGGAACCGTTTTCAGGTAAAAGGTTGACCTCCGCAGAATGATGACGCCCGCCAATGCCCAAGATAGGCCGGTATCATTTGACTTATTGGTCGTCAAGGGGACCTGAAGGGACTGATTTGGAATCCTTGGCTTTTTGTTCTAAATCAAAGGGAGTTATTTTGAGGCTTATGTATTTGCTTTAAAGATAATAAGATGTGTAGGTAAAGGTTACTTACTTATTAGTATTTGATGAAGAACTCCGAGCAAGCTCGCCCCCAGGTGACTAAAATGGCGGCAAACGGAAGTAAGTCAAATCAATTCCTATTAAATAATTGCGGAAATGACGTCATTTAAGGTATAAAAAGGTAAAAAACTACACCGGAAGTAGACGCATCTCTCACCAGATGCTGTGCATCGTCACATGCCGAATAATTAATAGTTTTTAATTTAAAGAAACAGAACCAGTACTTTTTAGGAATGGTTTTTTTGAACACGAACCATGGAATTTGAATATTATCAATAAAAAATTGTTACAATATTTGTAATTAAAAAAAAAACACGTTTTTTGTTAAATAACACCTATACAAAATATTTCTCTAAAAGTAGGTTTTACTAACTCTCGAAAAAAATCGATAGATAAATCGCTATGGTTTAGTTATGTGACATCTCTAAATCTTTCAAACTCGAAACGTCATACGGATCATCTTAGGTGAAAAAGACTATAATATTAAGGACAGATTTGATTGTTTATTTGTTTTGAAATGGAACGCGAAAGTTTTAAATCTTATGTTTTGAATAAGCTCTGAAACTACTGGACTGAAACTTATTTCCTGTTTGAAAAGTTACACCCACTTCTTTTATTTTGGCAACGACTTGGTTTTGAGAACCATGGTTTCGCCAATGTCACGTAAAAGTTGCACCTAGAATGAACTCTGGATTAAAATGACAACTTAAGCCAGAGTTTAACTAGGGTGTAAGTTTTATTAATAAGGCCCATTGAATATTGATTTCAAAAATTGTCATCATTAAAACTTCGCCTAGTCAGCTATGACATACTGTTATTATTCAAATTTTTATTCGAAAGTGTTTGGGTATTATGTAAATATTAATTAAAAATTGTTATTTGTTAATATTTTTCACTTATTAATATTGTACTTTTTATACATAATGTTGAAAAGGTAAAAAAAGAATCAATGACAGGTTTTTGCAAAAGAATGCCTTTTAAACCAAGTCCGCCTTATACGCGTGGATCCCGTTTTACCCCCTTTGGGGTGAAGTTTTGTAAAATCCTTTCTTAGCGGCTGCCTACGTCATAACATCTACCTGCATGCCTTTCAACCCGATTCGTCCAGTGGTTTGGGCTGTGCGTTGATAGATCACTATGTCAGTCAGTCAGTCACTTTTGAGTTATTATATTTAGATTAAATATTAAAATTAACAAGTGACAAAGTGGATTTCTCATTGTAAAACGTATTTTTCCAGTACAAATGCGAAAAATGTGGTAAACGCTTCCAAGTGAAGACTTGGTATCTGCAGCACCAAAACGTGCACCTTGGTCACAAGCCGTATGTCTGTCATTTATGCGGTCTTGCCTTTCATATGCAGCGGTAAGCTTTACTTTTCTCTTATACATAAATTTCTATTATCAGGACTTAGAGTAGGCGCACACCGTTGATTTTTCGTCGGCCGATAGTTTAGTCGGGGAGTTGATCAGTATGGACATGTATGGGAGTGCGCACACTACGCCGATTCGATTTGGCCGATTCTTCATACAAATTAAAATCGGGCACAACTATCGGCCAACAAAAATCAACGGTGTGCGCCTACTCTTATTCTAAATGACAAAACACACTTATCAACTTGGAATTAATTAGAAAATCATTGAATGTAGTTTTCTTTTTTTTCAAAAATAAAGGAATGTTTTCTTTGAGTAAAATTTTCTATCTACTTTCCCTTCAGGTGGCATTACAAAATTCCACCATGTATAGTGTGCGTACGTGTTCGCCTCTACCTATGCCTCTAGTTTCGTCGAGCGACCTATGTATAATGATAATAAAAAACAATTACATCAGAGTAAATACGAATGAGTAGGTCATCTTCATAGAAACGCCCGAGCGCGGTTTGTATGTGAGCGCGCGCCAATACGTATGCGGCGCGCACCCACACACTGATAAAATTCGGGGCAACTCCCCGCTAAATTTTGTCAGTGTGTGCGTGCGCGCCGCATACGTATTGGCGCGCTCACATACAAACCNCACACACTGATAAAATTCGGGGCAACTCCCCGCTAAATTTTGTCAGTGTGTGCGTGCGCGCCGCATACGTATTGGCGCGCTCACATACAAACCGCGCTCGGGCGTTTCTATGAAGATGACCTACTCATTTGTATTTACTCTGCTTACATTTTAAGGACCCTCTCCGTCCATTGTACCGCAATGCATCCGCAGTCGTCAAGCGTGAAACGTTACGTGTGCGTCCACTGCTTCTTACCGTGCGATTCGCGGAAATCTCTGACGGAACATATGAAGGTAACTATAAATAACTTGAAAAAATCGAACCGCCTAAGGCCCGGTTTTTTGATTCGTAGTTAAAATAACCAATAGTCAAATTTGACAGATGTTAAATGACAAGTGGTTAAATATCAGAAAAAAATGTTTTTCGAACAATGGTTATAGTTCCAAAATACTGAACTGTCCTATCGATGACATTGACAGCGGGGCGCCACCGTCAATACCGAATCGCTGGTTCCGATTTTTGCCATGTTGGAAACCATAAAGTTGAACGATGGTAGCGCCCCCCTGTCATTGAGTTTGGCGGGACAGTTCAGCGTGGGTCATCTATAGCTTGACTTTTAGTACATTTTTTAACTATTAGTTAACATTTTTTTAATATTTAACCATTAGTAGCAAAATTTAACAATTTGTTATTTTAACTATGAATCAAAAAACTGGGCCTTAGGCGGGAATCGAACCCATGACCTTTCAAGTGCTCTTCCATCTGAGCTACTTATCCACTGGATGAACCAATCGAAATTTTCAAGTTTAATACGCTGTCGCGGTCGCGTTAGTTTGAGAAGCGACTCTACGCTAAATTTTAATAAATATAAAGGTAACTTGATGACGAGAAAGTTTGTTCATTTCAACCAAATAATGTCCACTGCTGGAGAAAGGCTTATCCCAAGGATTTCTACAACGAGCGGTCCTGTGCTGCCGGCATCAATATTACTTCCCACGACCTTCACCAGATTATCGGTGCATCTACACTACGTCTTCCGGCCCCGTGGTCACCACTCGAGAACTTTTCTCACCCCACCTTGGGAACGCTTGGACGTTTCAGCTCGGAATGACAACTTCTCAAAATGACAACCGGGGCGTAAAATGTCCACTTCTCGAAATGACAACTTCTTAAAATGTCAACTTCTCTACAAGACAACTTCTGATATAGTTCCAAAATACAGGACTGTCCTGTCGATGACATTGACAGTGGGGCGCCACCGTCAATACCGGATCGCTGGTTCAGATTTTTGCCATGTTGGAAACCATATAGTTGAACGATGGTAGCGCCCCCCTGTCATTGAGTTTGGTGGGACAGTTCAGCGTGGGTCATCTATAATGTCTATTTCTCACAATGACAAATTCGCAATTGGTCAACTTCGCATAATGTCAACTACTTATTGATATTTTATTTTCATTATTTCTAGTTCTACAGTTCTTTTAAGATTTGTCATTATGCAAAGTTGACCAAATGCGAATTTGTCATTGTGAGAAATAGACATTATCAGAAGTTGTCTTTTAGCCAAGTTGACATTTTAAGAAGTTGTCATTTCGAGAAGTGGACATTTTGCGCCCCGGTTGTCATTTTGAGAAGTTGTCATTCCGAGCTGAAACGACCTTGGGCCACGCCACGGCATATGCTGAGTGGGGTCCCATTGCGATGGGCATCGCTGTTACAACAGGGTGGCACTGCTCAGTTCACTTTCTCTTTCTTTGCTGTGGTTGTATGTGCTACCTCTGTTTTATTTTATATATACCTTTTTAATTAATTCTCCTTTCGTTGCGGGTCCAATGGCAGTTTAACTTTCCCCCGGGACAAACTTGACCTTCACTGGTTGGGTTTTTATTGGCGGTCAAACTGTAGATCCTAGCTACACAGGAGTTGTAGCGGTGGGAAAGAGAGGTGGGAATAGTTTCGTATATACCTTTTTGTGTCTTTGTTTGATGTCCATCGCAATAAACGTTTCTTGGTTTTCACTTTTCAGTGTCAAACTACTTAGTTATAGACTTTGTTTTTAATATCGCTGTATTTCCCAGGTGCATGGGTTGACGGCTGAAAAGAAATTCCTGTGCGACCTGTGCGGCAAGGTCCTGGCCAACGGCGACCAACTGCGGCTCCACAAACGCGGGCATTACGGCGTCAAACCGTACACTTGCGGGTGCGTTGATATACAGGGTGTTTGCTAAAACAACTGCCATTGAATAGGCTAGTTGCCTAAAAAAATTTTTTTAGTCCGTAATGTTTAATATCAAAAAATATTGGACACGTATATTTTTATTTGTCAATCTAACAAATAATTACATAGTTATGGTGCGTTGAAGTTGCGCACGACGTCACAACGTGCGGCATTTTTAAGCAAGCGTTGACGTCACGGGCCTCTTCTTATGAACTTTGGGGCGCTTTATCTCTTTAAATTTTAATTAGTTTGAAAAAGTGAAAAATACGTGTAGAGTATTTTTTGATAAGTTAACTGACGGACTAATTAAAACTCTTGCTTTTTGACCCAGGCAACATCCCCATTAATAATTATTTATTTTATAGTTGTGTAAAATATGTGATTTCAATTTGGTGCTGAAACTACACTCGGCATCAAATAAATCGCACCTCCCGCGACAAGCACTTATCAAACGTATGCATCTCCACTTCCCACCAATATTGGTACCACTTGAAAGCCTAGTTCTAAACTTCATTTCATTAAAGGAAAGGTTTTTGTCCCAAAAATGTGTCTTTAGAAGGATCCAGAGTCACTTCTTAAAAAAACAGGTAGTTACGCTTGAGCCAACTTTTATGGCTATAAAACTGTTAAATTGGGATTTATTGCTATCCATCTGTTAAATAGGACACGTAAGATCATTATTTGGTTTTATAACCACAAAAATTGGTCTACTTGGTCCCATAGGTGAGCCGCAAGTGAGGCCTTTTTTCAAGTCACATTTATGGTACCTGTTAATTGTTTATAAAAAAATTAAATGTGTTTTTCTTTAAGTTTATTTATTAGGCTTTCAAATAACACCAATATTGTTGGGGCACCATGATTGTGTCAAAAGAAAATCTTTAAAGTTCGCGTCGCGGAAGGTGCGATTTATTTGATGTTGAGTGTATAAAAACAAGTACTAAAAATCCCGTTTATTTAGTAGTATACGTGTTCTTTCATTCACTCGAACATCCCGTTTTCAGGGTCGCGCTAAAAACCGATCCGTTTGAATTTGGAATCAGAATTTCAAACACACTATTTTGTGCTTGTGTGTTCACACAACAGTCCAGTTGGTCCAGTTTTGCAGTTTTGCGGGATCTGCATTACTGGATTCCGCAAATTGGATTGCCGTGGGAAAGGGTGCCAATTTGTGCCGGCTTACCTCTCAGGCTAACAACTCACTTATTGAAACATAAAAATTTGCCGAATATTATATTTTATTTAAACTATTTTCGTTTTGAGTACTATCTACGTGTTATTTTCGCAAAGTCGTGCCATTTTCATTAATCCTATCAATTATCCAATTCCAGCACGTGCAACAAGTCTTTCGCGAAGAAGTTCAACCTTCAGGTGCATCAGAATTCGCATTCCAGCGACAAAGCCCATGAGTGCGGGAGCTGCGGCCGCCAATTCAGCCAGCGGAGCGCCCTGAAACGGCATTGTGCCAGGTACCAACGGGACTATTCCCACCTCTCGTTCCCACCACTGCAACTCCTGTGTAGCCAGGATCTACAGCTTGACCGCCACAAAAACCCAACCAATGAAGGTCAAGTTTGTCCCGGGGGAAAGTTAAACTGTCATTGGACCCGCAACGAAATTAATCAGAAGAACATCAGAGTTCGAAATTAAGGTTCGACTTCCCTCCATTGCAAAGCGAATGACAGGTGACAAACAAAGGTTTAAAACCTTTAAGAAAAGATTATGCACCACGGACAATAAATATCAATTAAGGGGGCCTATCTTATGAACAATTGCAATTGTGCCAGGTACCAGCATCATCATCATTATTTCAGCCACTGGACATCCATGGCTGGAAATAGGCCTTCCCTAAGGATTTCCACAAAGACCGGTCCTGCGCCGCTCGCATCCTACTTAGGCAGAGTTACACCATCTTACTTTAACAAAAGTAAAAAAAAATGTACAACTCCATACAAAAAGCATCGGTTATTGCTATAGTTACGATTAAAGTAAGCTGGTGAAACTCAGCCTTATAGTTTTTTTACTATTTTACAGATATAATCACTTGGAGCCCGACACGTCTAGCAGTGGCACCAGCAGCGACACAGCACTCCCCGCGGAATAACTAGAGCCTTTGGAGATAATGCGCCTGACAAGACGCGAATAAGAAAATAAAAATATGTTTTTTTCTCTATCCAGGATGTCTGGAGATCGCTCTATAGCAATAAGACCGCCTAAATTGTATCGTAACTTTTGTATATTGCTTTCTTTTTTTATTTGCTATCTTGTGTGGTGTCTATCTATCTATCTCTTTTGAAACCTAGGACACGGCACAAATGTAGCAGCATCTTTTTACTATTTACCGAAATACTTTTGTGACAACTGCTATTACCTAGTTTAGGTTAGATTAGGTTAGGTTATGTCATTAATTGAATAAAAATATACAATAAAGAAGCAGATTTTTATTTCTTTTTACATTTAATTATTGCGTCTACCTACCTCATACATAACCTACCTACTTAATTCATTTTAGGAACCTAGCTAATACGCCCAAATTCATAGAAATGTAATAATTATTAATTAGATTTATCGGGGTATTTCGCCGAAACAGTAAATTTTGTGTCCAGGCAGGCGAACACATGTTTTTTTATATCTATCTGTATAAAACTATTTTTATGGGAAAGTTCATCAAAAGTTTTATTTGTTTTTGCTACTACAATAGCAGAAACTACAAACAATACCGTAGAAAAACTTAATCAAAAGTCGTTTTTCTAATTTCCTTGTTATGTCCATTACTGTTGTTTGCCAAAATGAAGGCTCATTATAACAAATTGAAGCGTAATTTAATTCTAATAGCACTCTCTTTACATTTGAGAAACGTTTGGCTATTGGAAAATAAAAACGTTAAATGTCAAATACTTAGAGGAAGAAAATAAAGTGAAGTTAAGTTCTTGTCCAGGTCAAAAGTATAATTTCCCTGGGTCTTCGTTTCGACCATTGTTGTAACGGAACGAAAAAACTTAGAATGTAACGCACTGCACCACTACACTCGGCCATTTCGTCCCAAGAGGCCATTGAAGCAGGACAGTACGTCGTTGATCAGTTTCGCGACAAATCGCATAAATAGGTCCCTCCTTGGGTTTTTGTTTACTAAAAAGTCAATTTCTTTGGACGGTTTTTTGCAGCTAAACAATGGATTAATTTTATTGTTTATTTACACAAATGTAGTGTCTGTAGGGGTAAATCCATGATTTAAATAGTAAATGCATAGAGTAAATAGGTTTTTGTCTGTGGTGTCTTTTAGGCATAAATCTAATTTCTTTGGTCCTAATTTCCTTGTTTTCCGTGGCATAAAATGACCTAGGAAATTATAAAAGACCATTAATAATTCGGCGTAAAGTCAAATTTTGAGTATTTCTTTGTTGGAATAAGTTTAAAATTTACATTTTAAGAAATAGGTATCAGAATAGATATAGAAAAACTTGTTTTTAACTCTTAACTCAATCTACTGCATTTATCTTCCTTAGTTGTGTAAAAAGGTCGTAATGATATAATATTCATGCATGTTTGCTTGCGAAAGTACACAAAAATGGGTTGAACAAAAAAAAAAGCAAACCACAGAAGAAAACTTAGAGAAAAAAATATTTATAATAATTTCCTTGGCTACCAAAAATTTATGACCTCATAACTTTGTTTCTAAAACGAATTATGACACCCCTTTTAGATATATTAGCTTAGTTTTTACTACTTAATGCAATGGGAAACAAAAAATAGTTAAAAACAAAAATAAAATTCGTGCCAAGGAAATTAGGCAAAATTGACCATTTTTGGCGAAATACCCATCGACAACATAGTTTCCATTACCAATACCACAGAATAAGTAATAGTACAGGTACAGAAGGATTACTCCGCAAGACGATTTAAATAAATGCGAGTCTTGCTACGACGCGATACAGTGGAATTCAGCTCGCACAGCACTACGTACCTACAATTTTATTCACCTACAAGTTTTGTCTCTTTCTATCGCGTGCCTCTGAACTCTTCTTACGCTGTTAGGGTTGCTGTCTAGTGAAAAAATAATTAATCTACTTATTTGTTATGAGGTACGTATGTAGGTAAGTATGCATTCATTATGGAAAACCTTCATAGTAGGTTAGGTTCCTATACTATCCTAAGAATTATTGATTACCTACATGGCCAACAAACCTTTCAGCATCTTTGGGAAGCGAAAAAAAAAGATAAATCCGGTAGATTACTTTTAGAATTTAAACACCCGAACGCCACACAATATGTCTTTCTCTTTATGTCCATTTTTAAATAATACTTCGATCATAGAATGATAATCATACTACAACGCACGCCAGCGTCCTGACGAAAGCGCGCGTGACACTCGATTGATATAATACCCGCCGGCGGGGCGCTTCGCTGTAGGTAATTATCGGATGTACCGCGCGGAGTGAGCCAGGCCTGCCAATACGGGATTATTCCCACCTCTCGCGTTCCCACCACTGCAACTCCTGTGTTGCCAGGATCTACAGCTTGACCGCCACAACCCAGAGAGCAGATATTTCTGCTCTCTGGCCACAACCCAACCAATGAAGGTCAAGACAAGTTTAACCGGGAGGAAAGTTAAACTGTCATTGGACCCGCAACGAAATTAAATTAAGGTATGGAATTAAATTCCATTACCAATAGGAACATTTCACAATTATGAGACATAAAATAGTTTTTTTTTTTACTTTCTTACTCTCGTGCCCTACGGTGCCCTTGGCCCGCGGGCACGTGTGGTCCGACTTCATTTTTTTGGCTTGCTTCCTCTATGTCGCGCCGCGTCAAATTTGTCAATTTGACACATGCATGATTTGACATTTAGTTATTTTGACAGACACCATTGCATAGAGAAAAGTAATACATCACCATTGTTTTGAGTGTTTTCTGTATTTCTTGTGTAAAAAACACAATTTAATCATTGTTTTTGCATAATATAACATTTACCAAACCTAAAAAATGGAGGAAAAGGAGAAGCAACGAGGAAAACATTTTTGTTGTCTCGGTTGTTTGGGTCGATCAGATGAATGTGTGATTCAGAATTTTAAAGTACAAAACGAAGCTTTAAAATCTGTTTTTCAGGTAAAAACATCAGCTATTGGCATGATTATAACCTAGACTAGCTATATGACATTATTTGTGTGGTCTTGTATTCAACACAAGCCACAATTTGAAGTTTAAAGTTCTTCGATTTTTGGTCGTAATATTGCTGATTTTAACTAGAATGTGGATATGTTTTCAGGATGATAGTATCAGTTTATGCAGTATATGCCTACGGGTCGCCCAACGTGCTGAGTTGTTTATCCAAAATGTCCAAAACAACCAAATCCTACTGGAAACTTTTCATAATGTGAGTCAATTGATCAATTCAGAATATCAGTTGGTCTTTAATTATTTAGTTTTAATAGACTGCCTATCATACATTTTAATACAGTAGGTGCAGCAGGGTTCATACTGTGCACCTACCATGAGTTTATGTTAGGTGTGCTCGCTAGCGAGTACGTCAAAAATCTCTATGAAGATTTTGTTTCTTGAAAGTAGCCGCTAGGGGCACTGCACAATATGTCATACAATTAATGTCATTTTTTTACGTAGTCGCTAGCCAGCACACCTAACGTAAACTCATGGTAAGCACACTGATCAGTGTAGTAGCCAATTATTCTATAGAAAGTTAAATTAAAGCTTTTTATTCAGAATTTTAGCTTTATAAATTAATAATGACTGCAATCAAGTAAAACTGATATGATTCCGATTCCTTCACAGAATATAATAGACGCATCATTCCAAAAAGCCTGTAACCAAACACAGCCTCTTGTAAGCTTGACATACTGCACACTGGATGATATTGAGGTAGATGGGACGGACTCGGACGTCAACGAAGTGTATTCTGTGTTCTGCAGTAGAAGCCACAAGGTCAAAGTTAAGACGGAGATGAAGGAAGAAGAGAATGAGTTATTGGAACACCTTGAGGGGGAATTCGTTGATGACGATGGTTTGTGTGAATAATTATATTGCCAGTTATAATTTATAACTAAAGAAAAGAGTACATATTCAATCTAATTTGTGAAAATATTATGTATGATATTAATATGTCAATGGACATAGCAACAACCACCTAAAAATCCTAAATATTGTTAAATGTCCCCTAGGTAGATTGCAATACTTGAAAAAGAAAAATATTGGTCTTCTTTGAATAAATTTCATTTAATATGAGAGCAAATATGTTGAAAAAAATTAAATAAAACTTAAAATTGAATTTTTACATCCAGAATTCCAAGCTCCACTCCAAGATGTAAAGGAAGAAGATGAATTTCCGCTAAATACTTTGTTGAAGCTGAAAATGGAACCTGACAGCGAAGATTCAAACCTCACTAGTAGAAGAACCAAGAAGAAAGCCAAGACGAAACCTGCCAAAGCTGATATTCGAATTAAAAAAACCATATCTAATTCTATACCAAAATTAGGGAAGAAAAAACGCAACAAACTATGTGAGTGTTATAAAGATCTCTTGTCATCTCATTTCACCAATATAATCTTTATTATTATACAGTGTGAGTCACGTTAAAGTGTACATATGAAAATAGATGAAACTAGACCTATTTTTATCGACAAAAAAGAGGTCAAAAAATTTTTGAGATTTTTTTTTAATTTTTTATAGAATTTTTTTTCTTCCAATTACTTATTGTAAAGAAAACGTAATAACTTTTAAACTAAGCGGTATATCCTGATAAAATAAAAACAGTAATAATGCTAAATAACAGGCGATACTAAAAAAATACATAAAATACATAAAAAAGGCCAACAAATAATAAAAAAATGATACTTTTTGAAAAAAAACTGCTTTAAAATTCATGTTTTTTTGGTTATTTGATAAATTTCTCCAAAAAATGCCCCTATAACAGGTGGTTTTTATTACTTTGTATTATTCTCTATCGTATTATCTTTGTAAAACCAAAAATCGCATGTCTCTATCCCTATCACAACATTTGCTATGATCGTTTGAACAAAGGCCTGCCACAACATTATTCTCCGCTACAGGTAGAGACAATTTTANAAATCGCATGTCTCTATCCCTATCACAACATTTGCTATGATCGTTTGAACAAAGGCCTGCCACAACATTATTCTCCGCTACAGTTAGAGACAATTTTAATTTTAAACAAAATGCTTATTTTACTTCGAAATCTTTTGTGTTTATTTGAAATCTAACTTGTCTTTATCAAAATAACAAATCTAGAGCCATTTTCAGTTTCGTTGTTAACGAAGCGTTGAATGGCGCGCCCAGAGAGGCTTAGTTCAAACGATCATTGCAAACGTTGTGATAGGGATAGAGACATGCGATTTTTGGTTTTACGAAGGTAATACGATAGAAAATAATACAAAGTAATAAAAACCACCTGTTATAGGGGCATTTTTTGGAGAAATTTATCAAATTACCAAAAAAACACGAATTTAAAAGCAGATTTTTTTCAAAAAGTGTCATTTTTTATTATTTGTTGGCATTTTTTGTGTATTTTATGTATTTTTTTAGTATTGCCTATTATTTAGCATTATTACTGTTTTTATTTTATCAGGATATACCGCTTAGTTTAAAAGTTATTACGTTTTCTTTACAATAAGTAATTTGAAGAAAAAAAATTCTATAAAAAATTAAAAAAAAATCTCAATAAATTTTTGACCTCTTTTTTGTCGATAAAAATTAGTCTAGTTTCATCTATTTTCATATGTACACTTTAACGTGACTCACACTGTAGAAATTCCTAGCATTATTCTATAATCCCAGTTAAGTTCCAGGTAAGTTGCCAACAGAAACAATATACATGTCCAAGAAAGAGTGTATGGAGGAAAGGAAGAAAATGTTGCAGAATCATAAATACCTTAACTGCGTGTATAAGTGCGAGGATTGTATCAAAGGATTCACGTATAAGGCCAGCTATGAGAAGCACATGGAAAAACACAGTGAGGTTTGTTGATATATTTTTGTAGGGGAAACAGTGTCATTGACCAAATTTACTAATTGCACTGAAAAAATGACGATCATGAAGAGACTGGTTTCTGTAGTTAGAGGCTGAAGGGAAGATATGGTTAAATTAAAACATTTATTTGTTAACTAGCGGCCGCCCGCGACTTCGTACGCGTGGATCCCGTTTTACCCCCTTCATCTATCTTACGCGGTTTAGATTTTTTTATACAATTGTTTTTAGGGTTCCGTAGCCAAAATGGCAAAAACGGAACCCTTATAGTTTCGTCATGTCCGTCTGTCCGTCTGTCCGTCTGTCCGTCTGTCCGTCTGTCCGTCTGTCCGTCTGTCCGTCTGTCACAGCCGATTTACTCGGAAACTATAAGTACTACAGTGATGAAATTTGATGGGAATATGTGTTGTATGAACCGCTACAAAATTATGACACTAAATAGTAAAAAAAAGAATTGGGGGTGGGGCCCCCCATACATGTAACTGAGGGATGAAAATTTTTTTTCGATGTACATACCCGTGTGGGGTATCAATGGAAAGGTCTTTTAAAATGATATAAAGTTTTCTAAAAAACATTTTTCTTAAAGTGAACGGTTTTTGAGATATCAGCTCTCAAAGTCGTAAAAAGTATGTCCCCCCCCCTCTATTTTTATAACTACGGGGTATAAAATTCTAAAAAAAATAGAGGTGATGCATGCTAATTAACTCTTTCAACGATTTTTGGTTTGATCAAAGTATCTCTTATAGTTTTTGAGATAGGTTGATTTAACTGTAATTTTGGTTATATTTGCTGCTACGGAACCCTTTGTGCGCGAGCCCGACTCGCACTTGGCCGGTTTTATTTTTCTCGCTAACTCCCGTTCCCGTGGGAATTTTGCAATATCCTGTTGGAACTAAGCTTTAAGTTTACTAAGGTACCTGCAGGCCAAATTTCAAGCATCTAACTTAAGCGGTTAAGATTTTTCATACAAAAGGATTTTCCCGCTAATTCCTGTTCCCGTGGGAATTCCTAAGTATACTATAACCTGCCCAGGGGTATTAAGAATAATTGTACCAAGTTTCGTTAAAATCCGTCGAATAGTTTTTGTTTCTATAAGGAACATACAGACGGACAGACAGACAGACAGACAGACAAAAAATTTACTGATTGCATTGTTGGCATCAGTATCGATCACTAATCACCCCCTGATAGTTATTTTGAAAATATGTTTCATGTACAGAATTGACTTCTCTACAGATTTATTATAAGTATAGATAGATAGATGAGTCATTTTGGTTCTCAAAGGATCAAGCGAAAATGGGTTTTTTATTTTGTGGCTGAAAATATACCTAAAAATTGTGGCACCATGCTTCCCATTACCCAATTAACCTTTTTAATTGATCTAAAGTGCCCGCTGAAAACCAGCTTCGTGACTTGACGACCTGTGCAATGTTACGATTTTCGCTGAGCGGGTACCTTTTCATCATGGCTCAATAATGTTAACCTCTGTACACACGCCCACACTGTTAACTATCCATTTCCGTTTTTGCTCTCGCTCTAATCAAATGGCGATTCTTTGCGATAGAACTAGATGACATGACTTTCAATGGGCAGTTAACACTGTTGGCGATAGTACATGTATGCACCTAAATGTTAAATGCTGAATAAAGATATTCTGTTCTATTCTAAAGTTAGATTTAATACTAACCAAAAATCCTCTGTTTTCAGGCGAGTGGTGAATACATCTGTAATATTTGTAAACAAAGAATGCCCACAGAAGACAAGTTGCATAGTCACCAAAGATATCATCAGGTGTATGTATTACGTTATTTTTCATTTTAGTTCATTTTAAATGATTTTAGTTTCATCCGGCTCGAAGGACCGTTAGATGCATTTGATTATGTAATGGAGATAGAAATAAATAGATAAATATCGGATAGTCTAGTGAAAATGGTTCCCCGAATGCTAATTCCGTTCGGTGGACCGACGATCTATTTCTTGCGCCGCTGCTTCTCAGCACTGGCACAGAATACTGGCACTGGCCCATATTACTGCCCCAAAGCAGTGGTAGGGTTGGGACGTGTAAAAGTGCTCTTTGAGAGCCTACTTACAAAAAATAAATGATTCTGATTAGGTGCTTGGGTACAGGCAGGACATGACCGGTCATTGTAGAAATACTTAGGGGAGGCCGTTGTCCAGCAGCGTTAACTTTGGCTGAAACCTATCATATTGTCATTAACATAAAGTGTATTTTAACCTGCAGTAGGTACAAGTCCTTTGTTCAGTAGCGTTACCTTTGGCTAAGACGTACCATATTATTATTAACATAAAGTTCACTTTACTACAGTAGGTACAAATGCCCGGACTGCGAGCTAGTCCGCATGTGCCCGGGGACGATAAGGGAGCATTACTTCGCGACGCACGCGCAGGGCTACGCCCAGTCCAAGTGTCCCCACTGTCCTAAGATGTTCAAGTAAGTTCTGTTATCTATACTAGTATTATAATACGAACGTCTGTAAAATTAAGTAAGTATAGTATAGTATAACAGACTATGATTTTATGCTTTAATATAGCCCCTATTATTACTACCCTATAACTAAAATGTAACTAAATAGGCATCTAAGGATGCCAGAGTTTAGTACATAAGATGCCAGTATTTAGTTTCACAAGCCGTCGTCAGTACTCCGACCGACTTGAAATGACCGTGCGTTTGGCAACAAACGACCGAAAATCGTGAAATACAGGGTGTCCCAAAAACAATGGATAACCCTGTAACCATCGATAGGCCTCGCCATGACCTCCCTAACGTCCATTTTTAACCCCAGTAAAAATATCACCGTTTTCAAGATTTTTAAGTTTTTGTGCATTTTTAGAAAATTGCCACCTGCGATTACTTTTTTTCATGCCATTTCTATAAATGAGGATACTTTTCAATCTAGTTTTTTTCCTTATCACAAGGGATAGTTGGGCTATCAAAATAAAAGATCAAAGTTCAACAAACTAGTTTGAAAGTATGAAAATTTTAAGAAATTGCAGAAGAGAAGGAAAAATTAATTCATTGCCTCCACTTGAACCCTGCGACCATGTATATTGTATAGGGTACGTAAGAGTTACACTTGACGTTTATTCTTATTTTTTTGGTTCTATTCTACTCTGTCCAGTGTCTACGCTATAAAGATTATTTTAACCGACACCAAATAAACAGGATTTTTTTTATTGCGTTTGTTTCCCGCAGCAACAATTTTTTAACCGATTCAAAAAAGAGGGTTTAATTTTTTTTTCCGTTTGTTTCCTTAGACGGCCGCGCGCGCTTCGCAAGCACGTGTGCCAAGTGCACAGCACGCGGCCGCGCGTCACGTGCGCGCACTGCGCCAAGAGCTACGCCAACAAGGCCGTGCTCAAGACGCACATGATGCTGTGAGTACTTGCTGATCACCATTACCATCCTCATCACCATCGTCACCATAATCATCATCATCATACGGCACAGGACCGGTCTTTTTGGAAATCTTTGGGGGAGGCCTTTGTCTAGCAGTGGAGGTCATTCGGCTAAAACGAACTAACCCAATTTAACTTGCTGCACCAGAATGGTTTTATTAACCGACTTCAAAAAAGAGGAGGTTCTATGTTCAACTGTATCTTTTTTCCATTGTATGCATACTCGTATTTATGTATTTCCTTTCTCTTTGGTACGCACAGTAGCTTAAACGGCTCGATGGATTTTAGTTTGTGACGTCGTAAGATTCATCTAAATTGTGAGAGTAACACTTAGTATAAATAATTGCTTTCCAGTTCATTTATTCAGTTTGTTTTTTTTTTTTTAGTTTACGCAGTTGGTTTATTTATCTTTACCTTCATCCAGGTTGCACCCCAAGGAAGTATCAGCGGTGGAAGCTAGCAAGCGCTACGTTTGTCGAGACTGTGGCAAAGGTTTCCACTCGCCGTCCCATCTGAAGAAGCACAGCTTGACGCACTCCATCAGAAAGGATTTCTACTGCGTTGAGTGTGACAAGTGAGTTAAATTGTTACCATTTATAGCAGTGGTTCTTAACCGGTGGTCCGCGGACCACTGGTGGTCCCTGGAGGCATTCCAAGTGGTCCACGAAGACATCGTAATAAACAAGTGACGTGACGTGATGAGTCGAGACAACACAACGCAAACGGCGCACAGTGGTCGAAAAATCGAACTCCCCTTTCATAGGATTTTGAAAAAAGTGGTCCCTGACAAGATAGAAATTTGGTAAAATGGTCCCTCGTGACTTAAAGGTTAAGAACCACTGATTTATAGTAACGATTTTGAAACGTCATGTGGCAAAAATCAATAACTATCAACCCAGTATTGAAGTAGCGCCCTCCTGACAGTGTAATAGTTGGGACGGTTCAGTGTGTGAACGTCTACATCATATGACAGTTTAATGACGTCAAATAAGTCACGTTCATGCCTAACTTATACGTCTGTGACTCTGTTTTATTTTTTTAAATATTTATTTTGGGGAGTCATTACGTTTTTAAAGGTTTTTTTGAATTACATAGTCAAATAATTTCCCTTTTCAGGAGTTTCAAATCGGATGAGACACTGAAGCACCATTTAAAAACTGCGTTGCCGCATGTCAACTATTCAGAGTTACCGTAAGAGTTTTTTTTTATGCATAACAAGGCAGGTATTTGACCGCAATCGCGTTAAGTGAGATGCAGTCTAGGATGGTACAATTATCTGCCCTGTAAGTGCCTATTCACTCTCGCCTTGAAAAGGCCCGGATTATAGTATATTTTATTTATTATTGAAATTTAAATGTTTTTTTATTGCATGTTACATTACAAATAGTGGTGTTGTAAACGTACAGGTATACATTTTAGTATTGTTTTTATCTTTTAGATTGCCATGCCAGCACTGTGACAAACGGTTTGCCATAAGGAGGGATTTGGACAGGCACATGAATAGGGTACATCTAAACATCAAGCCATTCCAATGTGACAGTTGTGATAAGGTAAATAAAAATAACATTCGTTGTCGGTAAGAAAAAAATGAAGGTAAATTGATAGTTAAAGTTGAATCTCACTAGTAAGTGGTGATCAGGCCGAAGGTAGAAGTCAAGTTAATTGAATTTTCATACTGGCTATCTTACCTGCAAAATACAACAATACTATTAACATTGTTGCTATGGCGACAGACTTACTCTGCATAGTGAGAGCTAGCCAGACGGACTTGGAACAAGTCTTATCACCAACAACCAAAATTTTGCCCTGATAGGAATCCAATTCGGAACCTCGGGGTTTGTGGTGTAGCGACCTTACAGCTAGACCACAGAGGCGGTTAAAGTTGTTATCCCAATCATAAAATCATATCTACCTATGACTCATGTTTTTCAGTGAATGTGATGATGCTGATGAATATAATTTTCCAGGCGTACGTGAACGGCTGGTCACTCACAGAACACAAGCGACTGATCCACGAGGGCTATAAGCGACCCTTGAAGTATCCCTGTAAGCTGTGCGACAAGATATTTGACGTAAGTATTATTAGTCACTCAGCATAGAAACCAATAAGGACAAAGTAAATTAGAAAGCCGTGTTCACATTAACCAGTAAAAGTTAATGATACAGTACAGACAGTACAGGCGTGTATTTGTCAATTTAAAAAATTAATGCCTCCTCATCTATTCGTAACAACAAAAGTATTTTGTCTATAGTCTGGTCCGTGAGCACGTAGAATTTTGTCCAATGACCCCTAGCTACCCATCCTTATCGCTCGCGCGTAATTATGTTGCTATCGCGCTCGCACACTCACTGCGGGTGCCAGTCGCACAGTCGCGACAGCAAATAATTACGCGCGAGGGATAAGGATGGGTAGCTTGGGGTCATTGGACGAAATTCTACGTGCTCACGGACCGGGCTTTAACTGTGTAAAGTATTTAAAGTAACATCGTTATAAAGTTTTATTTATTGTCTGAGTGTATTTAAACTTTAAATGTAGATGTAGCGATGTTAAATACCTTTCTTTAGAATCTAAATAATTGTGTTTGTATTTACAGCGCAACTCGATCCTTAAGAGCCACATCCGAACGCACACGGGCGAGCGGCCGTACCAGTGCGAATTATGCTCGGCGGCCTTCAGCCAGCGCGGCGTGCTCGCGACACACACGCGCCTCGTGCACCTGCGTCTGACGCGCGACGGACGCCCCAAGCCCTCGCTCAAGTAGCACGATCGTGGCATTTAGGTTGTAGCTTCGTTACATTAACTGTGAGCGACTAAGAGAGAGCATCTCCAAAATAAATTATTTGATTTGAATAAAACTTCACGATGCTCACGCGCGATGGACGCCCCAAGCGTTCGCTCAAGTATGATATGACACGATCGTGGCATTCAGGTGTTAGCTACTTTACGCCAACTGTGAGCAGCTGAGAGCATTCCTTCGTACATCTGCGTCTGACGCGCGACGGCCGCCCCAAGCCTTCGCTCAAGTAACGCACGATCGTGGCATTCAGGTGTTAGCTACTTTACGCCAACTGTGAGCAGCTGAGAGCATTCCCTCGTACACTTGCGCCTTTAGCGCGACGGCCGCCCCAAGTCCATATGTTGTCCCGAAGTGGTGGTAGGGCAAGCTATATTTGGGACGTGTATAAGTGCCCTACAAAGGGCCTATGTACTGAATGTACTGTACTATACTGAGTACCAAGCCTTCGCTTAAGTAGCACGATCATGGCATTTAGATTTTAGCTAAATTACGCTAACTTTTAGCAGCTAAGAGCTTTCCTTTGGACAAGCTTGCCCTAAGCGCCACGGCCGCTCTAAGCCCGCGCTCAAGTTCAGTGGCGCACGATCGTTTGACTTAGGCCAACAGCCATAAATATTCATGCGAGGACTGCTTAAGCTCGTACTTAAGTAGCTCACGATCGTGCAATCTAGGGTTTAAAGTAGAGATGAAACGGATATCCGGCAACTATCCGATAGGCCGGATATCCGGCCTAAATTTACTATCCGGCCGGATACCGGATAGTAGCTCACTATCCGGCCGGATACCGGATATTAAAAAAACTACCAAAAATTCCTATAATAAAATGAAAAACATTAATCTTTGAGTCAAATATCAATAAAATGGCTTATAATAATGACGGTTTTTATCTAAAGTCCAAAAAGTTAAAAACAAAAAACCATATTAAGGCCTTTCATAAAACTTATTAATTTTCTGGGCTATATTCACTCTAATGACGAATACATAAAAATGTCGAAATATTGCCAAATAAAATAGGCGATCTTTTTTTTCACTGATGGTCTGATGACATACAGGGTGACTTTGAAATCGTTGGCATCCTTTTAATATAAGACTACTCATGATACATGGTGCTCTTAAAAAGAGTTTAAAACTATTGTACAGCACTTCATCCTATACATTTTGTTGCAAAATAACACTTAATACATTGAAATAAGATGCCACAATATGAAGATTGATGTGCTGTCGTCTGTACAAGATTTCAAAATTTTAAATTTTAATTCATTTTAAATGACTCATATTTGGGGAATCATGAGTAGAGTCTCATTTTAAAAAGGATGCCAACGATTTCAAAGTCACCCTGTATAATGCAGTTCATTCAGATTACGCAGCAAGTAAACTAATTCAATTTTCGCTATTCAATCACATACTCACGATGGCAACCGAAATCACCCGAATTGATCTGCCCCTTAGACGAGTGGCAAAATCTGACATTCTATTCGAACGAATTCGATTTTCGAAAAGTGTGACTTGTCTAGTCTACTAGTCTACTAGACCTACTGAGCCCCGATTACGGTAATATTTAACGTCTACAATCCAGACACGCTTCTTCGATTCTGCGATACGATTGGTCAAAACAGCTGACGTTGACTGACAGCTGACTGTTTTGACCAATCGCATCGCAGACTTCGATTCTGCGATGCGATTGGTCAAAACAGTCTGCGTCAAGCGTGTCTGGATTGTAGACGTTAAATATTACCGTAATCGGGGCTCTGATCGCGTTCGAAGCATCTGTGCAGCGCTAAACTCGTTACGACATGCAACATGACAATGGGACAACTATCCGGCCGCCGGATATCCGGCTATCCGGCCTAGCAGCTCGCCGGATATCCGGTATCCGGTATCCGGCCAAACAACTATCCGTTTCATCTCTAGTTTAAAGGTTTATTTCTATGAATTTAAAAAAATATTTTGTGTTCATTTTTATTAATTTTTTAAACTTGAATGTAATAAATGGCAGTTGAATATTTTGTTACTTTTAGATACATAATGTTTTGTGCAATAAAGTATGTACCTATCTTAGATTTATGTGCAGGTAGTATAAAGTAACAGAATGGTAATATTTTGGGTTTAAGTGGGAAAATTAATACCTATATTGTATTATTTATTATTTTATATGAAACTTGCTCTATACAACAAAAATTTGAGTCAAAAAAATACATCACACGCAACTTGTTGAACTTCACATCGCTCTTATAAAGAATTTAAAAGTTATTGTTTTATTTTAAACTTGTTCTTTTCTTTTTAGATATAAGGCCCAGAACAGACGGTGAAAGGCACTGCAACGAAACTGCAACTTTCTGATGATTCTTATGAATGAAACTGAAACTTTCAAACTGGGCGCGTCATGTGTGGTCTCTCAACGGACGCTATGGCAGAAACTTAGACGCAACTCAAAAGTAACTAGCAGTTGCAGTTTCGTTGCAGTTGCGTTTCACCGTCTGTTCTGGGCCTTAGAGTTACCTACTTTTGCATTGAAACTTTTCCACTTTATACGGTGGAGTGGTCATAATAATTTGTTACATTAATTCTTAATAGGTAATAAAATAAGCATAATAGATAAATGTTTAAAATGTAAATATTTATAAGTAAATGAAAGTGATATTTAATACGTAAGTTGAATATAATAAAATAACATGCTACGTTTTTATTTCTTTTATTTCCTATTTGGTGAACATTTATTATATTGATTGTTGGATTAGACCAGAGGTACTGGATTCGATTCCCAGACGGGGTATAGATAGAAATCTATAATTTTATTACGATCGTAAAAAGTAATATGGCTCCGGTATCAATATTACAGCAGCATGATTGGAAGTTTTATTCATTTTATTTTAAAACAACTAATTTTTTTCGTCGTCTCCACGGGTTTCAGTCTGAATTTCTATATTACCTTATAATTTTTTGTATTACAACTTTATCAATCTCATTAAACTAATATAAAATATCCTAAATTCATCTTAAAAGTTACATCCTAACACTTTCCCACTTTGTTACAAAAATAATCATCAAAGTTGAAACTGCTTACCATACTTTTTGAAAACCTATATTTCGAAAGACTTTTTTCTGAAAACCCATCTAACATAGACTTATTATTATATGGAATATTGATAATATTGTGTCATTCAATGGTACATAGACCACCTCGGATTCGAACCCCATAAGAGTCAGGATTGAAATTATAAAATAAGATTGGATGTAACGTTTAAAAGGCGACAAGGCAACACACATATGTAAACTAAAAAAATAGACAATTAATAACCACGTTTTAAATTTTGGGATATAAATTCTCGTGCTTACCACACTAACTACGTCCCAGTGAGATTCAAACTCGCTGCAACGAAATAAAAGCACTACTTTACAGTCCTATCTCACATATGACCTAGCGTCCCAAATTCCCCAGTTTTAGTATTATAGGAATCCCCTTACGAGCGGTGTCTCCCACGGGAGCGTGCGACATCCGTGGGGGGGGATGTGACGAGATCCGGCCTCGCAGCGGGATTACCACGTCCCGACGCGTCCCGGGATATCATTGTGAGCCTTGTGATATTCCCACCAAATCCAATTGAGTAGTGGACACCGCTAACTAATAATTCCCAGATTCAATATCTGAATAATCTTCATTCTTACCCTGAAAATCGAGTAAGTAGGTAATGAGACACAGAAAAGTAGTCATAGCTTGAGGTAACTCGGGTTGAGGTTTTTGTTTGTTTCAATTTAAATGTAGAGAAATCAAATGACAGAATACACCTTTGACACTAAGGCCCAGAACAGACGGTGAAACGCAATTGCAACGAAACTGCAACTTTGTGATGATTCTGATGAATGAAACTGAAACTGAAAGTTTCAAACTGGTTGCGTCATGTGTGGTCTCTCAACGGACGCTATGGCAGAAACTTAGATTCAACTCAAAAGTAACTAGCTGTTGGAGTTTCGTTGCAGTTGCGTTTCACAGTCTGTTCTGGGCCTAAGAATGAAGCAAGTTTTAAGGTTTTTTTTTGTAATGCGGACCTAAAACCATGTGTAATTTAGGACTGGCTCATTAAAATTTACTGTCCCGAAGCAGTGGTGTTGTTAAAACTGTGTAAAAGTGCTATTTAAAAATGAGTTTTTAATGCCAGACTAAGTACCTAAATTTTTGGTAGGACAGTCCACTGCTGGTAGTAGCTTTCCTCAAGGAGTACTGCCACAAAAGACAGCAGGATTCTATCAAAATGATCTGTTAGAGATCCACAGGAGAACCAAAGTGACTGACATATCCCGCAGAATCGCTAAAATCAAGTGGCAGTGGTCGAGGCACATAGCTCGCAGAGCTGATGGCCGCTGGGGCAGAAAAGTTCTTGAGTGACGACCACGAGCCGGAAGACGTAGTGTGGGCAGGCCTCCCACTAGGTGGACCGACGATCTGGTGAAGGCAGGGCCGTCTTTAACCTACTAGGGGCCCTGGGCACTTAAGGATCAAGGGGGGCCCATATCATCATGGGGAAAGGTCTTTTGAGTAGGGCCCCCCTTGGTCGCAGGGCCCTGGGTACTTGCCCAAAGTGCCCAGTGGGAAAGAGGGGCCTGGGTGAAGGTCGCAGAAAGTGCCTGGATACAGGCGGCGCAGGACCGGTCTTTGTGGAAATCCTTGGGGGAGGCCTTTGTCCAGGAGTGGAAGTCATTCGGCTGAAACGAACGATCTGTTTTCTTCAAAACTTTATCTCGAGAGAGGTCTGAGGACGAGCGAGCGCGCATATAGTTGTCACCTCGCCAGGAACCGATTACGCGCGGGAAGCGTGCTGTCTGTTGCGTCACCAACTGGAGCTGGACGGTCTAAATGACACTGCTTTTTCCAAGAAATTGCAGTAGGTACGTGACCTAGCCTACCTAGATATTCGCTAGTTAAGTATTAGGTACCTACGCAAAACTTTGATGTTCACTTGTTTCTTAATAAAAATCGATGTTATCACCAATGTTACGTTTTATCTCCCATAATATGTAGTTGTACCTATTATACAGGGGTATCGCAAAATAAGCACGTTACACACACTAAAATCGTTGATGAGCCTAACAAAATACCTATACCAAATTGCGGTATAGGTAATAAGGCCCTACAATCCAGACTTTTTGACATGCCAGTGGATTTTGTGCGTTGAATGCCAGCATAGTGCCACCATGCCGAAATGCCTTTTTATTTTCCACTAATACTTAATTACACGTTATTCATTCATTATAATAATATTATTATTATGTCCCATCGGAGAATCGAACTCAGAACCTGTACCTAAATAGTAGGTAATTAAACAACCAAACATCTGCTAGGTAATATGTATAACTTTTTATTTTTAATAACTAATTAACCTAGTTCAATACCTAAACAAATCAAAAGAATCCCAGTCGTTAAACTTTATTCCACTACATTTATTTTAATATCAACGGAAAACAACACGAAATCCGTCAATCCGTTTAACATATTATCGATTAAACCAGCCCATGTCAAGTTTGGCCTGTATCGATCGCGTGACCCACTTTCGGTTGCATTCTGACCTTTACAGGGCCGTATGCAAACGCGGATGAAGGTAAAGGAGCGTACTTACTTTATTGGCAATTCAATTAAAATCTTATCAAGGAGTGATATTTTTTATATTGGATGATCCAT